GCACCCTTAATCAAAATGGAATTATATACCTTCCAGAAGACAAAATGGCCTCACTTTCAGAGATATTGTATTACTATAGTTACCATTGGCCTCAACAAAAACTATGGGTGCTCATCATCTATGCAAATCAGGTCATAAATCTATGGTTTAAAAATTAAAGGAGAGGAGTATGGCATATGGAGCTTTAATAATTGTGGCAACACTCTGTGGTTGCAGCACCTTTCAGGTGTGGAACTTTCTGAGATGTAGAGTTTAAAAGATTGTCAGCTGGTAACAGTTGCAGTTAGAGTTGGCTGAAGACAACCTAAGAATGAAGTTGGTCTGAACGCAGTTTGCAAAGATCATTTCACTGCACTGAATTATTTTGTTCTTTATTTTTTGTTCTGCTCCAATTAATTTATTGTAATCAAAGTTTTAAAGGTATAATTGGTTTCCAGAGCGATAAGATATTGGGTGGAGACATTTTGCCTCCATCAGGCAGAATATCTCCAATAAAATTGTGGGAAGCATATTTAGATGCAAGAAATACTATTGTCAAAATTTTCAAAAGCAGCCTCTAATTTGTAGTGGGCCTCAATTTTTGTGTGTGTACTCACCGTGCTGAGTATCCACAGCTCCATATCAGTCTAATAGGGTTTTCATGTGCTCAACCTCTGTGAATATCAGACTCCAGTGGTCTCAAATTGGGAACTCAAAATTAAAGTTCACTTTTTAAAATGTAGATCTGTACCTTTAAAAAAAATGTAGTGTGTTCCCTCCATCACCAGATGTGATACCTCAAGATGAATGGAGTGCTTTGTACAGAAGTAGACAGATGGCCTCCTGACACAGGGCCAAAGATAGGGCCCCTCCCTGCTTGTAGATATAGAACATGACCACATTATTGTCTGTCAGGACTTGCAGCACCTGACCTGACAGCTAGGGAAGGAACATTTGGCAAGCTAAGAGTACTGCCCTGAGCTTCCTGACGTTTATGTTCAGGGACTTCTTCTTGGAACCAGAGGCCCCAAGTCCTGAGATTGTTGAGGTGGACTCCCCACCCAAGTTCTAACGCATTCAAGATTAAAGCTACTGATGCTTGAGGGGTAACAAAGGGCACCCCCATCATTACTGATCTTGGGTCTTTCCACCATTCCAGGGAGGTGAGGACTAGGGGAGAAACCACAGAATCCAAGTGTTGTCTGCTCAAGGAATATACTGATGCTAACCATATCTGGAGGGGTCTGAAGTGCAGTCTTGCATCTTGAACCATGTAAGTACATGCCATCATGTGCCCCAGTAGCTTGACACAAACCCAAGCTGCCATAATCGGGTAAACCATGACACTGGATATCAGGTCTGACATGGTCTGGAATCAGGGCTGTGGCAGGAAGGCCCTGTCTTGGGTCGCGTTGAGTGCTGCCCCAATAAATTCTATTCCCTGAGCCGGGCCAAGAGTTGATTTCCATTCGTTTATCAGCAGGCCCAGCACTTGGAAGGTGGCTTGGACTGTGCTAATGCTGTTCTGAACTTGAGCCTGTGACCAATCTTTGATCAGCCATCATCAAGGTATGGGTAGATGCCTCACCGTCTGAGGAAGGCTGCTACTACCACCATACACTTCATGATAACCCCGGGGGCCGCTGATAGGCTGAAGGGAAGAGCGGTGAATTGGTAGTGGTGCTGAGTCACGAAAAACCTGAGAAATCTTCTGTGACTACATAAGATAGAAATGTGAAAGTATCCATCCTTTAAGTCAAGGGCAGCATACCAGTCTCCGGGATCCAGGGAGGTATCTGTTGAGGCAATGCAGGTCCAGAATGGGCTGGAGGCCCCCTTTGACCTTTGAGATTAGGAAATATCAGGATTAAAACCCCTTTCCTCTCAAGTCTTGTGGAACCTCCTCCACAGCCCCCATTTGTAGGAGGTATTGCACCTCCTGGACAAGGAGTTGCTCGTGAGAAGGGTCCCTGAAGAGGCATGGGAATGGGGGTGTGGGAGAGAAGGGATAAAAACTGAAGGGTATAGCCAATTGTCATTGTACTTAGAACCCAATGGTCCAAGGTTATGTATGACTATGCTGGGCTGAAATGGGACAGACAGTCCAAAAATAAAAGGGGAGACGGATCTGAAGTGGTGACGGTATAGCGCCTTCTGGCATACCTTCAAAAGGCCTGCTTGAACTCCCCAGAGTACCTCTGAGACCTCTGCCAGTTATAACCTCTCCCTTTTCTTTTGTAGGGCTCTTGTCTTGGAGACACCGAGAAACAAGGAGGCTGCTGGGGCCTAAAGTGCTTCCTGGAAACTGATGGAGTATAAAGGCCTAGGGATCATAGGATGGCCCTTCAGTCCTTCAGGCTGTGAAGTCTCATGTCTGTCTGCTCTGAGAATAGAGAGGAGCCTTTGAAGGAGAGGTTCTGGATGGACTGTTGGACCTCATGAGGAAGCCATGAGGACTGGAGCCAAGAATGCCTCGTGGTGACAATAGAGGCCATTATTCCAGCTGCCAAGTCAGCTGCATCCAGAGCTGCCTGGAGAGAGGTCCTGGCCATATTCTTTCCCTCTTCCAAGAGGGCAGTGAACTCCTGCCTTGAATCTTGGGGCAGAGAGTCTTTAAATTTAGCCAGGGAGTCCCACAGATTATAATCTTATCACCCCAGCAAAGCTTGCTGGTTAGAGATATGTAGTTGAACGCTACCTGTCGAATAAACCTTTCTTTAAAAAGGTCCAGTTTCTTCACCTCTTTTTGTTTAGGGGTAGCGCTCAACTGGCCCTGCCTGTCCCTCTCATTTGCTACAGACACAATCAGGGACACTGGACGGGGGGTGCAAGTATAAGTGTACGAACCCACTCGCTGGCACATAATACTTCTTCTGTGACCTCTTTGAGGTGGCGAGCAAAGGAGGAGTTTGCCACAGGGCCTTGACCAGCCCCATCACAGCCTCATTGATGGGTAAGGCCACCTTGGATGGAGCTGCTGCAGTCATGGTATTACTAAGGGCTGTGTGATGTCTCTTTAAGATCCTCAATTTCCAGACCCAGATTTGCAGCTATCCACTTCAAAAGGTACCAGTGGGCCCTGAAATCATCCTATGGAAGAGGACACCTGGTCCCACGACAGCCTTATCTGAAGAGGATGAGTAGGAGGCTTGCACCAGAGGAGGGGATCCCTCTTTTTCCTCAGCCCCAATGACATCCACCAGAGCCATCTTCTGAACATTGGTACTTGGGTCAGTACTGGAGTCGGGGTCCAGTGATGACTGAGAAGGTGCGAAAGCCTGTCTCTCAGAAACCACTGAGTAGGAGCAACAGGAGGGAGGACCTAGTGCCAGGGGAAACCCCAAGGGGTTCCAGTAAGACCACTGCATTGGCCAGTGACCCGCTGGCCATGTGCTGGGGGGTGATCAGTACCAAACGCTGGTGGTGCATAGGTTGGGTACCGGTGGTGAGCCTTAGGTTGCACCTACAGTTCCCTTCAGACTCAGAACAGGAGCCCTCTCTTGGAGACCACAGTGGAACAGTTCCTGATTCCGCCACCGTGCAGTGCCGGGGGTCCAGAGACCAGCGGTGGACCAGAGATTATTTGGATGCTGAGATCAGGGTCAGCTAGCCTCTAGAGGGTGTCAGGGGCCCTGATCCTGGAAGGAGCCTGATGCCCCTTGTTCCTTTCTGCTTCTGGACATTGGAGTTGGAGGGTGTACCAATGGAGTCGGGGGAACCGGGAAAGCAAATGGGTCCCTCACAGCTTGGAAAGCCTCCGGTGTCAATGGAATACTCAGATCACTGGTGCCACAGTTGCTTCTGGGTGTTGGCAGAGGGTCCCACACTGGACTCAGTGCTCTAGCCAGAGTCGATGGTGCCATTATGGGCCTGGGAGTGGAAGAGTGGCCTAGCACAGGTCTCACTGTGCTGCCTTCCCACCCCTTGTCCTTCTTCTGCACCAGCAAGTGCCCTCTGTCAATGCACTGCTTTTTGTGCTTCTTCCTCGGCACTGGAGATGGTGAACAGTGCCGGGAAGAGCTTGATGCTGGAGGAGCACTTCGCACTCACGCCAAAGTGCTCAGCACCATATTGTAGTGGCTCTGCTCTGAGGCTGGTCTGAGGGCAGCTTCCCTGAGGATAGCCTTCAGCCTAATGTCTGTCTTTTTTAGTGCAGGATTTGAAGTCCCGACAGATCTGGCAATTGACCTTCACATGAGTTTCCCCCAAGCACTTCAAGCAGCTGGAGTGTGGGTCACTCACAAGCATAGGTTTGCCACAGGATGCACAAGGTTTGAAGCCTGGAGACTGAGGCATGCCTGGCCCATGGCGCAAAGGAGTCCCTCAACGACAGGAGCTAATTATGTACATTAATTCTAATTTCAAAAACGATATACACGAAACTATGATAACTAAGAATGAAGAGTTAGAGTCCAAAAAACACTGGGAAGAAAATCTTGCCGAAGCAAGAAGGGTCATTCCAACAACAGTCAAGGACGGTAAGAAGGAATTGAGAGGGTGCATAGCCAGTAGCACCCCTTATACTGGCACATGAGTGCATGGCTCCAGCAGGCACTAGAGCTCGGCCAGTGGATACCCCTAAGGGAAAAATCTCCAGCGTGTGCTGGAGGGTGTGCACATACCTAATATGGAATGGACATGAACAAGCACTCGAAAAAAAATATTGAACATTAAGAGTCATAATGACTGGCTTCCCCTCTCTTGTGCTCAGAAAGCATGAGTAACCTCAGTCTTACACTTTTGTGATGAGTGTACCTTTGTAGATCATGTTCTGAACTTCCACAGTATGGAAAAAAGATGACAAAGCACCCTTCTATTTTTACTATGGAATATGAAAGCTGCTCAAAGATATTCAAAAACACTATTGTCAAACAAAATAATTCAGTTTAAAAATCTATATATAGTCTATCCAGTCTGGTAAAATTCAACAGTATGCACAGGCATTAACACTTTATATTGTATTAAAATGTAACATCCATTATCCAAATATATCAAAATCCACTCACAAATAATTGTATTACCTTTGTATCCTTGTTCAGTCTCCCTGAGATCAATTTTAGTTATTGGCTTGAAATCGGTGTCCCATAACCGAATACAACCATCTCTCCCACCAGTGGCAAAACCTTCCTCACAACCATACATACTAAAAATTCCAGCCTGTTAATCAATAGTATAATAGTTTTGAAAGTTGATAATAATTTAAACATAAAAACAAATCCAAGTGTGTTTGAGTATGCTCTTCTTAAAGCAGAAACTGTTAAGAACTGTTAGATAATACTGTTTAAAAGACAAGATGCTCTCCACTCAGAAAACAAACCAAACACACAGGTGACAGTTTATTTCAAGTGCTATCTTACCAATCCATTGATTGTGAATTATAATGGAACTTTTTGTATAAATGTCATACACATAGTGTACATATGTGACTGTAAATTAAATTTAATTAATGTTGTTACAAAGGAGTATTAATTAAATGATAGGACACTCACAATAAATTGTCACCCAGAATAAACAAAACAAGCAAACAATTGATACAAATATTCTTACAGGTGCAGAGATGGCTCAGACAACGTTTCATGAATTCAGTTCAGACATCATTTGGAATCTGATGTAAACTGAAAGAGTTTGCATTTCATTTTTTGTTGGCACAAAAAGTATCTACTGTAGTTTGAATTGCTTTTTCACTTTTAAAAAAGGCAAAATTTATGGATTGCCATGTTCTTCTACATTACAATAGTTTTACAGTACTTGTTAGAATGCTTACTAATGTATCACCCACCTTGTCTCTACTGTAATATCTTTTATTGGACCAACTTCTGTTGGTGAGAGAGACAAGCTTTCAAGCTTACATAGAGCTCTTCATGAGGTTTGAGAAACTTAAATCAGAGTGTCACAACTAAGTACAAGATGGAACAGGTTGTTTAGCATAAGTAGTTAACACATATTTCAAGGGATCATTCAAGATTAAGTGGCCGTTAGTAGGTTATAGATTGTTGTAATAAGCCATAAATCCAATCTCTCTATTCAGTCCATGATTTTTAATGTCTACCAAAGTTATTAATTTAAGCTTCCAGACTCAACTTTTGAAAGTGTTATGCAGGTTTCCTTTGAGGATGAGGACTGAGAGGTCAAATATAAAGCGATTGCTTTGTGAAAAGTGTTCACCCACAGGTGAAGTGATGTTTTTGTCTTTTATCATTTTTCTGTGTAAGTTCACCCACATAGTTGTTATTGGGGCATTTAGTGCACTAAATGAGGTACACAACATGTTATGAAAGGCATGTGTAGGGCCCATGGATCTTGAAAGGGGTGTTGTGGGATTTTTTTTATCATTGTAGTAGTGGAAGATATGTCTGCAAGTTTTGCATCTGTTGTTCTGGCAGGGTCTGACGCCACTTTGAGTTGGTATGTCCTGGTCTGTGGGGAGCTTGTGTGTGATGAGGAGGTTGGAGAGGTTGGGAGGTTATTTGAAGGCCAGAAGAATGGGTCTGTACCTATTGGGTTCCGGGAAGTGGGCGGGCAGGAGCCTGCCCACTGCTTAAGGACTCCCACCCCAGCCTAAGGGGAAGATCTACAGGACCTGGAAACCAAATTTTTCTGGGGGACAACTAATGAAATAACAGGGACAGGAGTGCAGTCAAAGGGTCAAAAGAAGGAAGCCTGACGGGGACACCGAGCAGAGAACCCCGGACAGCACCCACTGCTCCTCAAAGGCATCAAAAGAGCCAGTGGACGCCGCCCAGAGGAACTCTGCCCGGATACGTGAACAGATAGAGGATCGGAAACAGGCCCCACAGACACAGGAGTCTCCATTGGCCAACCTCCTCTCCCTAGTTTTATACATGGCCGTTTTAGCCAGGGCCAAGAGGAGGTTGACCATGAGGTCCCGTGACTTTGTGGGGCCATGGATAGGAGTGCATAGAGAAGGAGGTGAGGGGAAAAGTGCAGCCAGAAACGTAACAGGATATTTGTGAGGAGCCGGAATAGGGGCTGCAACCTGGCGCACTCCAAGTAAATGTGCACCAGAGTCTCCCTCACGCCGCAGAAGGGGCAGGTGTCTGGGATAGGGGTAAAACGCGCCAAATACACGCCCGTGCTCACGGCCCCATGAAGGAGCCGCCAGCTGATATCCCCGGTGGGCCTCGGGACCAGGGTGGAGTATTGGCTGGCCCACCAGGGCTCCTCACCTTCTAAAGGTGGCAGGAGGTCCCGCCACTTTGTATTGGCGCAGGACACGAGGGTGAGGAAGTAAAGAGTGTGGAGCACAAGCGTGTATAGGTGTTTCCTTGGTGCGGTCTGGAAACAAACCGGCTGCAAGTCGTACAGCCAGCTCATGGAGAAGGGGCAGGGGGACCGGTTGGTCCACAAGAGTGGGTCTATAATTGGGTGGTCACCCGCTCTTGCCCTGAAGGGCTGAAAAGCCAGCTAGGCTAGAAGCTGGGCTGAGTGGGGAAGTAGCTGCAGCTGGGCCACGCCCCAGTCAGGGCCCAGCTGGCCCTTATAAAGGCTGGGAGCCAGAAGTTCAGGCAGACTCTCTCTGGCTGGAGAGAGAGACAGGCCTGGCTGAGGGGGAATTCACCTGAGGGACCTAGAGTGAGGCAGGGCTGGGGAAAGGCCTCAGGAGCTGGGAAGCTCTAGGCCAGCAACTCCCCAGGCTGCAGGGTCTGGTCCCAGGCCCATAAGTATTGGGGTTGCAGAGGGGCAGCCTGAAGGTGGGTAAAGGCAGCCAGTCCAAACCCCTTGTTTCCTGTGATGATTGGCTTTTACACTGCAGTCCGCCCGAGGGTGCGGGGCTAGATGGTGACTGGCAGTAGCCATGACTGAGGCGGTATGGGGATAGTGGGTGAAAGTTCCCTGGGGCGGGGAGACCCAGGGAGTGGGAGCACTGCCAGGGGGGCAGCACCCAAGGCAAGGACACCAGATCCTGGGAGGGACCAGGGACGAGTGGTAAGGTGGATCACTGGCCTGCGGAGGGCGCTCTGGGCTGGAAATAGAGCTAATTCCCAGGATGACAAGCAGGAGGCGCCGCCAGCTGAGTCCAAACCCTTACAGGGTCCAGGAAAGATTTATTTCCGGGTGGGGTATGCATTGAAATGGGTTGTAGTTGTTTGATAATACCCCATATGGGTTCTAGTGATGGGTGGTAGGTGACAACTAGGGGTGTGTGGTCAGAGGGGGGGTTATTTCTCTATTGAAGCAGGTTCTCTTGGGGTATTTGGGTGGCTCATTCCATGATGGAACTCAATTTTTGAATATTACTGTGATTCTTCATACAATGTCAGCAAAGCTGTGTCTTTCTTAGGCTCATAACCACTGAGGCTCAGCAACAACTGTATATCGAGACTGTTGTTTCTACCAAGGTTCCAGAAATATAAATCCCCTGGGTAGCTCTTATAGCATAACACTAAGGAAACAATCCCTACCCACATGTTCAGAGAAAACACAGTGGAACACTGTATTCAATACTGTATTCAATACAGTTGTTTCTAGCAGTTTCAAATGTATTGAGGACAAGATGTTAAAAGAATGCTCTGCCTTTACCTTGAGAACAAAAGGAAACATGAACATATGTAATTTAATTAAGGCACTAAAGTTGAATGTTTAGGAATATGAAATAAACATTTACAGTAGTAAAATATGCCTCCGCTATTTTTTTAGCTCCAGTGTTCATCTACACTGAATATATTGAGATTTTTCTTTGATTCAAATTACATTTTTAGTATTTAATGAGAGTTTTTAAAATCATTTCCACGTTATGTGAGCAAGCCAAAGAGAAATTCCATTGTAAAGCAGATTTGCTCATGTTCTTATTGCCTTGGTTACTGAGAAAAACACATAAGATGCTTGTTATGCTTAAGATCTCATTTTTATGAAAATCCTTGGTATGGAATATTGGGAATCCTATTTTAAATAAGACTAGCATATTAAATAAGACTAACATATTAGAATCTATGTTTATACAATTGGTCTATTCAGAACTGAAAGCACCTTAAAAATCTATCAAGATGATACCTTACATTTAAGTCTGTTTGGTGAAATCAGTATCAAAACTACACACAAACAAACAACAGCAGCAGTTCTGTCAGTAGAACAAGATACTGTAGCTAATACTTAAATACCTACATAATCAGAGTATAAAGTGAACAATTCATAAAGTCTTAGTGAACACTATACATTCTGTTACGATTTGACACAGATTAGAATCTTTTGAAATATTACAGATCCATTACAGTTTTTCAATTCAGTGAACAAGGTTAATTTTCATAAGTTAGAATTAAAAATATAACTTACACTGTGAGCTCCTTGAATTGTGCGGACTAAGTTTAGCCCTTTCCAAACATAGATGTCTCCATTTAAAGCACCAGAGTACGTGATATCTTCTTTTGCACATGCTAAGCAAAGGATAGTTTGGAGATCTCCTGTTTTGCCAAATATTCCTCTTTTTGCTGTCAGTGCATTTCCACACAACGTCCAAAACTATGAAATGTAAATGATACATGAAGAGAAGTCTCTGCAGCATTTTTGGTTTTGACATCAGTTTGCAGATGTTTACAGACATCTCTACATATTGTTCAGTAACTGAGCTAGACACTTATATGGATCTTGCCTCTTAACTGACTGTTCCATCATGCTACAAATAACTTATAAAGAATGGAAAACTACCACAGTAGATCTTAAGATCACATACACAATGTGATAGTTAATTTTTTTGTGTGTATATGTATTAAACTGAAAAATAACTCATGCTGTTTTATTATTGTTACCCTCATTCTTCTAATAACCTCACCCTCACTTTGTCTGTCACCTTTTCATGCGTGATATATAATAGAATGGAATCTTCTTAAACAAGGGACTTGTCTTGTTTGTTTGCAGAGCTCCATACATAACTATGGGCTGTAGAAATAAAAAATAAGACCAAGTCCTGAGGTCTTCTCTTAGTACTTATTCATGTAAAATTCCCATCAAGTTTGCCTGAATGAGGATCAAGTAAGACTCTCAGAATTTAGCCCAACAGTAGTGTGTGCTGATAGGAAGTCATGAAAGACAAGATTATGAGCCATTTATAACCATTAGATTGTAATCTGAGACAAATTAAGAACATGCTTTGGGCATTTATAACAAAATTCAGATCTTGATATGAATTTCCTTAGAGTTGAAAGTGTTTCGATCAAGGATTTTGGTTTGGGGCCCATCTCCAATTTCCATATCTTTTTAACATAGGCCTAATTCCAGGTGTGGAAGGGGAACATTTTCCACACAGCTTTCAAACTTGGGGAACACTATACTGCTCCCCCCCACCTAATTTTTGGTTGGCTGTAGAGGGAGAAAGGGGAGGCAGCAAATTATACCTAGTTTAAGACTCATTAGAACTCATAACTGCTGCCCCACTAACAACAGTTTAGCAAAATAATTCAATAGGAGGTGGCATATCCAGTGCAGCCTCCACCCCAGCAGGGGATATTGATGTGGACACAGCAGCAAAATGAAGACAAACACATGCATGGAATAAAGCAGCAGGCTGCAACTTTTATTAAACTTTAACAAAAGGGATGGGCCCTACTTGTCCATCACCCATATTCTCCTATACCATATAACCCATAACGTAGTGTGGCTCTCCTCAGCCTACCCCCAGGACTCAGCTCTGTCTGAGTCTCAGCACCCTCCCCCATGAATGGGACAGAAGATGCAGCAGGGTTGTGACCTCAGCCTATGAGGGCCACAAGATCTGCCTCTATCACATGAGCCCAAGGCCCGTCACCAAAATCCAAGATCTTTTACCTCTTGGAGCCATTCATTTTATTCTCTTAGCCACAGTAGAAACTGGCTGCAAGTTGTGACAAATAAACACCATCACTCCAGTACCTCAGTCAGGCAGTAAGAGCATTCCTATTTAACCCACTGTGGCTTGAAGATGCTGCAAGGATGGCAAAAGACTCTCTGGTCCTCTGCCAATTGGCCCATGGAAGAAAAAATTCCGTCCTGACTCCCTAAACAGGCGATCAGCTAGACCCGCAGCACCTGTCTGGCTGGGTTCCCATTCCTACTTCGAATGGGTAGGCTGGGCTGCTGGAATGGAGCTGGAAGAGGCTCCACATTGTCCCTGCACCAGATAAATCTTGGGAGCTGGGGAATGTTGGCCAATCTGCACCCCTCTCCTCTAGCTGGCAAATCGGTGCCTCCCAGGGGGAGGAACTTCCTATTGTCCCTTGCTGAGTGTCCTTGCTACTGGGACTATCCCCATTTCAGCACTTACCCTACCGACTTCCCCGCCCATTGATGTGGGTGGCCAGCATTTCTGACTAGGCAGGAGGTAGCAGCTGTGATTCCTGCCTACAGCAAGTTCAGCGACAGACTCAACTCCATTCCAGCCTGGGGCCCTCTGGCCAAGTGTCTGTGGGACACAGATTGCCAGGACTGAGTGTCTACAGAAGAGAGAACTCAGACTCTGCTCTTCCTCCTGTACCACTTAGGGATAATTTTATATGTGGCAAGTCACTTTTGCCAAGACTTTTGCTAAACTTAGGTACCTAACTATATATGTAGGAAGCTAAATTAACCTGATCCTGCAAAGTAATTAATAAGAAAAATAAGAATAACACCTACCTCTTACACAGTGTTTTTAAGTGTAGACCTCAAAGCTCTTCACAATCTTTTAAATGTATTTAAAAGCCAATGGTACTTACTCATCTGAAATTGCATGCAGGCTTTGAGAAATGTGGAAGGTTGCAGGTGTGGCTTTGATACCCAGCCTAGACATTCAGCAAAAAGCTCAGCTGCAGTACACTTCAGAAATAGTTTGGGTTGCTTGACTAGAGAGAAGCTCAGAGAAAAGACTACACTTTCCCCATTTCTTCCTCCCCAAATATTAATCTTGATTCTACAACACAGAGTAAATACTCTATAGTATAGAGCTGGAGAAGCTATTTATGTTATCTACCTCTAAGTTCAAGCAGAGATCCCATCCCTCTAACCTTAAGATATAGTATGGACTACTGTTTGTACATCTTTTGATGGGAATCCAACACCTAATCCTCAAAGATTTCAACACACAGTTTTATGGCATGCCTTAATCTGTATCTGTTTGTTTGGATGGTTAATTATGACCATTTTAACAAAGCATGGGTGCTAACTAAAGATAGGTTTTTGAGAAGCAGCTTGCAGAACACAGCAAATGGCATAACTACTGCCAAAACCACCCCACAGTTTTGAAAATAGTGTCAGTTTAGCGTTCAAACTTCTCAGCCACCAGAGCTAGAAAGATTAGCAAGTTTCCTAAAACTTCTGTTTAAAATTTTTCCCACTTCTAATCATGGGAAATAATTGCCATCTGGTAGAGATGCATCTCAAAGACAGGGGAAAACAGAAAACTTTGGCCAAGTGAGGGACTTCCTCCAAGCTTTGCATAAACCCAAGGAGGTTTTATCCAAAATATGAACCTTTTGGGGGGGATTTTCATTTTGCTTTCAATTTTACTTAAATTTTGGTCCCATTTAAATTTTGATACTAGGCAACAAAGTAAGGCAACAGGAAGGTAATTTACAAATATGTATTTAGGTCCACATGTGCCTCCTGTGCAAAATTGTGGGAAGGAACAAATACTGGAGCTGTGGAGTACTCAGGTTCTCTCCTCAGTTCCCTGAGATCAGAGGTACAGGGAGCTGGGCCAAAAAATGGAGTGGAAAACCAAGGATCTCTAAGAAATCTGACTCCCAAAGCTGCAGAGGATGTCTAGCAGCATGGAGTGACTCCTCTCATACCTTCTCTGTAGTCTCTGTCCAGACTGTGGCTGAGCAGTTAGGATCCCTATCTCATTCATAAGAACATAACATAAGAATGTCCATACTGGGTCAGACCAATGGTCCATCTAGCCCAGTATCCTGTCTTCTGACAGTGACCAATGCCAGGTACTTCAGAGGGCATGAACAAAACAGGTAATCATCAAGTGATCCATGGTTCTGCAATTTTCTTAGCCTCAGTGAGAGAATCAATCCTTTCAGACCTTTTCAATGATGTCTTATTGAGATTTAACTAGGAAGAGATAACTGAAGATGTTGGTGAGCAGTTTGGTGGAATAGAGAGGGCAGAAGCCAAAAACGGGAGTGAGTATTGGTAAATATTAAGACATTAAATGTTTATACTTTGCTTGATAAGCTGTCCTGCACTGCAATCACTTCATATTTCTGAAAGTTTCCCTCATCATCTCGAATTGGCTGCAAACCTAGAAAACTAGATAGTGTTCATGGGCTTTGGGGGTGCCAGGATGCCACCTACTGAAAGAAAATAGGCAAGCAGTTCAGGACATCGAATGACTTCATAAACATTAACAAATGAAAATATAAAAGCAACAAAACCAATTTACCTTTATATGTTTCACTCCACAGCTAACCATTCTGTTTGGCTGATATGGATCCCAGGAAATATCAAAAATCTGTTAAAAATATTCAAAGATGCTACTTTGAATTATAAACCAGTTGAATCTGCCATATATTTAATTTACTTTTGCACATTTTTAAATGCAGTTCTATCGCTCAGTATTTGATTAAATCAACAGCATAATGTTTAGGTGAATATAATGCTGTATGACATGAATGACAAGTATAACTATAGCTAGACTGAGGGATAATGCAGACATGTGCTTGCAGGCTTCCACACACAGCTCTGCCAGCAGATCTCATTCATAACTTGCAACAACCCACCTATTCTAGTCCCAGAGAACATTTACTGTGCCAAACTGGGGAAAATAAAGTGCAAGTTGTGTGATGTGAGCTAATGTCCCCCAAAAGTTAAGAGGAGAGACCATTACTCATCTTCACTCATTATCTATGGGAAAAGGTGTACCCAGGTCAGGTTAGGCAATACTAACCCAATATGCCATCTTATGTAATGCAGCTAAAGTGGTAATAGTCACAGAAATTTACATAATAAAATTACATTAGTCATTTTGGCAAGCAATATATATTTTTGTATATAATACAAAGTAAGCATATTTCAAAATTAAGAACTATATCCCACATTTTTTACTCAGAACTCCTGTTGAGGTCAATGGGAACTTAGTCTCAGTAATAACTGCACAAACAGGCCCTCAGGGAAATATTGTATAAAGTTTGAAAATAAAGAGTTTATACTATGGCCCAAACTTTCAAGAGTGCCTCAGTTTTTGGTTCTCCATCTTTAGATACTTTAGAGGGGCCTGAATTTCAGAAAACACTGAGCAGCCAACCTCTGAAATTCAGGCCCTTTCATGGTGTCTCAATTTGAGTACCCAAAAATTGAGGCACCCAAATCACTAGTTTCTTTTTAAAATGTAGACTAGTGATATTCAGACCTCAGAGGTTCAGGAGCCAAACTAGCAATCAACATTACCCAAAAGAGCCACAGTAGTGTGAATTGTTTCATTTACTATATATATACACACACACACACCCACACACACACCCCTTGCCTAATTTCTCCATTTTGATTCAAAGCACAGTAGCCACTCCAGTCAGTTAACAAGTATTTTATCATGTTAAGTATGCAACCAGTCATTTAGTATAATAAACACTGTCTTTCAAAATATAAAATGTAAATCTTCTTTATAAAAAGTTGTGATTTTGAAGTATTTTCTAAGTACTATACTTCTTAAAATATGTAATTGACAGACTGCAGCAATGTCTTATGACCCTCACACCAGAAAAGACTTTTTCCATAACTGGTGTTCTTCAAGATGTGTTGCTCATGTCCATTCAATTTAGGTGTGTGTGCTCACCACATGCACCGGTGCCAGAAGTTTTTTCCCTCAGCACTATCTGTAGGAGACTGGCTCCAGCGCCCCCTGGAGTGGCGCGAACATGCCATGGTATATAGGGCACTGCCAGTTCCCCCCACCTCAGTTCCTTCTTGAGTTGCCTGGCATGGGACCTTGCTCACACCCAGTCTTATCCTTTCCCTTGCGGGAGGTTGGAGACCAGCCTCGCCCCACCTTCTTGGCCTTCTTGGTTGGAGCCATGGATGGGGAACGATAGTGGCCAGTGGACAGTCCCAGTGGGGCACTGCGTACTGAGGTCGTGGTACTCGGCGCCGAGTTGGAGCGTTGCTCTGGTGCCAGTGTGAGGGCCAACTCCATAAGGCGCGTTCTTAAACAAATATTGCACTCCTTCTTAGTCCTTGGCTTGGAGGACTTGCAAATTTTGCACTTCTCACTAACTTGTCCTTCGCCCAAGCAACACAGACAACTGCTGTGTGGTTCACTAGCGGGCATGGGTCTCTTGCAGCGATCACAGAACTAAAAGCCTGGGGACTGGGGCATGCCCCATCCCGAGGCAAAGTCCCATTCGGAACCTATGAAGTCTCTAACTATAGCTAAGGGATTTACAAACACTAACAGAAAACTATATACACTTTAATACAAGAGATAGCTAGTTCGTACGAACGAGCAGCAACAGCACTAGCTGAAGCAGCAAACAGTTCCAGCACCATCACTGGAGACAAGAAGGAACTGAGGCTGAGGGGAACCGGTGGTGCCCTGTATACCACGGCTTGTGTGTGCCACTCCAGGGGGCATCAGAGCCAGTCCCCTACGGATACTGCTGAGGGAAATACTTCCGGCATTGGTATATGTGGCAACCACACACACCTAAGTTGAATGGACATGTTCTCGAAGAAGAACAAAAACATTCAACCACTAGAATTTAGGATCAGATTAGACAATCCCCTGCCAAACACCCTTTTACTTTCACTGTGGGGAGGGCTTGAAGGGCTAAGTGTTGAAACACTTCGATCATGGCTTAGAGAAACAGAGCCTGAAACAGCTCCCTTTGAAGTCAGTAGCGAAACTTCCACAGACATCAATGGGAATTGCATCAGACCCTAAAAGGGTAATTTTGAAAAACGAATAAAAACATTAATCTTGATGTGTTAGAAATATAGTACACAACAGTGAAGCACTGAACTCACCCAACTCACAAACACAGTACATACAGACAGTATAAACACATATTGTTTTGTTCTGTTGCCATTATTTATGTATATTCTATCATGTGAAATATTCACAGATATACCATGCATAGTAAAATATATATGCACAGTGAAAAGATTCATTTATCTTAATGATCATATGTGTGTGTGTTTGTGTGGTTTTTTTTGACTGGTGGTGAAATTGCTTTGACATTTCCTAATTTTGGGCAATATACTCCATTCAGATCCACTTGATGGACCTTGCTGTGCACTAACTTAATGAAAAAATAATACAATTTAGAAACAAAAATTTTACAGAAGTTATTGGGAAATGCTTCAGACAAAATTCAGATAATTCCTTCTATATGATTACCCTATCTGAATGGCCAGTAGCTGTTGCTAGTAGTTTTCCTTTCTTCCAATCCCAAATACATACTGTATTTTTGGCATCCAGTCCCACTGAGGCTAAACACTAAGGGGGAAAAAAAAGCATCTAGTTAATTGAAGATCAGCCCAAAATAAGTCTTTCAACTGAGCATAGTATGTGTACAAATATGACTCAAATTAAAACTAAATTGCTAAAGATACCATCAAGATATCCATGTTAAAAATTTATTTATTATTAGGACATGCCAAAAATTCTAGTCTTTTCTAGAAGCTTGAAATTAATTACCTGACTTTTAAGTGTACCAAACATAGGCTAAATTCATCAGAAGATCTGAAGCATTTGCTTCAGTAGCACAACAATCTGGCATTCACATCTTACTGACCTGTTATTAAAAATAAATGGGTGATTAAAACACTCCTCTCCCACCACGCACACCACCACATTTCATTATGTCTATGGTGCTCATTTTTGTGGACTTTTCTAGTAGCATTTTATAACTATAATTTATCCTTTAATTTTCAATTTTGTTTTTGAAAGAATGCATAATTAATTATTTTAAAAGATTAATACAAATAAATGAACTGCCCTCTCCCAAGAAACAAAGAAAGCAAAAATCCCTTTTTGTCCAGGCTATGGCTATAAACAAACAGACGAAGAAGAGATGTTTAAGATATAAATTAGCATACCAAGTCTCTTCAAATTTTGCCTAATTTCACAGGTCCTTATGAGGATGCAGGAACATAGAAATTTTCCTATTGGATAACACCAGTGGTTCATCTGGTTCAGTATCCTGCCTCTCCACCCATTCGGTGGGGGAAGGGTGCAGGTGGGTCCACCCCCAGCCATAGAACTGCTGGGTAATCGGAGGATGGCTTAGAGACCCTTGCTCCAAGCGGAAGGAATAATCCTCGGTGCATACACCCTCAGTCATAGTATGACTGAGCATAGGAGGAGAACTTAGGGTTTCTCACTCTGCCCAGGACGGGGCTTTGGATTTGGTGTATGGACCCTCGGTGGTAGAGGACCGAGTAATATGGAGGGAAGCTTAGCGTCCTGCCCTCCAGCCCGGGAGGGAGTGAGCATTGTAAGCCCCAGTGCCGGTGTGGGCAGCGTGAAATCTCCCATGATTAAAAGACCTTCAGAGTGGTACTAACGGTTTGTGATAATATGTTCAGGAAACAGAAGGGTACAGCTGCGGACTCGGGAGTCCCACAATCGTGGGCAATGGCATAAACAGTGGGGTCCCAGGAGGCTGGGGGACTGGGTGCCCATGCCACGGGGGAGGCAGCAAAGGGGGACGGGACCCTCTTACCTCTTGCAAAGGGGTGGGTGGGGAACTCTCCCAGCTGGAGAGGGCTCTCACCAAAGTGGGATACAATCCCTGGGGTTCTGTGGCGGAGCTTCAGAGGGGCGTGCTTACTTGGCAGGATTTACTAGACTTGTATGCCGAGTATGAAAAGCAAAAGGGTAAAAACCTAGGGGCAGCTGTGGGCTCAGTATGGACTGCAGCAGCCATGTGGTATCAAATGTCGTCGGGACAGAAAGAGGAGTTGGGGAGAAGGGAAGAGACATGTACCCGACAACTAGTGGAAATTGAGCAACTAAAAGCGCAAATCACTAATCAGGCAGCAACCGAAGCCTACACCCAAGAAAAGCTGCAAGTACTGGCCCTTCAGGGGCTTGTCAAAGATTTGACCCATTCGTGCTCAGCATACGCCACAGTGGCAGTGTGACTGACACGAAAAGGAAATTGAACAGTTAAAACATCAGTTGGCCGTATGTTCAGTCCAGGTGGCGAGCCTCACGGGGGATGATTCAGGTTGTAGAACTGATCAATAAAATTGTTTTTAATTGTTCACTTATATTAATATAACTTCATAAGCAAAGTTTTTATGAATGAAACAACATTCATTCATGAAACCGGTTACCCCAATAACTGGCTAATTGAGTTTCACTTTCAATCCAATTGCTGCTTAAATCACTCAAACTTACACTGTTTCAACATTCAGAGTAACAGCCGTGTTAGTCTGTATTCGCAAAAAGAAAAGGAGTACTTGTGGCACCTTAGAGACTAACCAATTTATTTGAGCATGAGCTTTCGTGAGCTACAGCTCACTTCATCGGATGCATACTGTGGAAACTGCAGAAGACATTATATACACAGAGACCATGAAACAATACCTCCTCCCACCCCACTCTCCTGCTGGTAATAGCTTATCTAAAGTGATCATCAAGTTGGGCCATTTCCAGCACAAATCCAGGTTTTCTCACCCCCCCACCCCCCTCCAAAAACCATTTGGGGATGGGGGAATGAGAAAACCTGGATTAGTGCTGGAAATGGGCCACCTTGATTATCATACACATTTTAAAGAGAGTCGTCACTTTGGATGGGCTATTACCAGCAGGAGAGTGAGTTTGTGTGTGGGGGGGGGGGACGGAGGGTGAGAAAACCTGGATTTGTGCTGGAAATGGCACAAATTGTTGCACCCCGATAGCAGCCCACATTAAAATGGAGGAGAGGTCCACTGAGCAACTCCAGGATGGGAATTGGGTCGAGACTCAGCATATTTCAGCCAGAATTCAGAGTCCGCTGGACCCGGCAGATATGCTGGCTCGTGAGCTCGGCCCCTTCAAAACGGAAAAGGCCGCTACCTGGCTCCTTTCCCTTTGGAACATCATACATATAAATAAATTTGTCCCAGCAAGAGACTGAGCGGGTGCTCACAGCTGCCAGCCCAGAGCTGGCCTCCACCCTAAAAACCACGGTGGCCGAATTGCTGGGAAAGGGGTTGCCTGTCATTCAAGCCTTGGCAAACATTCTTCTTTCCGCTAGGGACAAACGAAAATATTTATCTAACCTAGATCAGGCCCCTGGGCAAACTGGGTTAGACTATTTTTATCAACAGAGTTTAATTGCGGCTGTCTTGGGACAAATTCAGACGGCGAAAGCAGAGCAGCGCTTTATTGGCCAGCTTCCATGGACCGTCGCTCAGTTACGGGAGCTGATGGAAGGGATAAATGACTGGTGGAGGGATAGACTAGGGCTCTGGGCCAAAGGCGAACACGCAAATTGGGAGGTGTTAAAGGATAAAATCATGCAAATCGCTAAGCATTTTGGGGAGCCAATTAAACAGGTAAAGGTGGCGGCACCCCCACATATACCAACCGGATGCCAGGGGAAGGTGGAAAGGGGCCAACCGAGGGCCAGTCAGAACATAGGAGGGCCTGTGACAGATTTTTATTACCAATCTGCCTAGGGCGTCAGTGAATTAGGCAGATGCCACAGGATCTTTGGGGAGGAGGTACAGAACACATCAAGTGTCTAAGTTTTAAAGCTTTATTGATAAAATAATGTAACAGCAGAGAGTGCTGGGAACACTCCCACATCACTCAGGGGAAGAAAGAAAGCATTAATGTCCCAAGCCCTAACCTACTTTCATACTCACATACACACTACCCGAGACTGGCCAAGTCTGAGTGTAACGTCAGAAGAAGAGATGTGGGGTAAAGGTGGACGGGAGTGCTGTCCTGGGCCCAGACCGTCTGGGTCTGCTGCTGATCTCCAAAGTGCTCCAGCTCTCAGGAGGGTTTTAAGTCCTGAGCTCCTTTGGGGGTGTTTTATTTTGCGACCGCTGTTCCTGGTGCTCTTTGTGTCACTTCAAACCGGCTTGCTGTGGCCTCCTCAGTTTCCCAAAACATCCCGGCTCCGGAGACTTTGTTTTTCCTTCTATTGGCCTTTGCTGTTGCTGTTTTATTTGCTCTTACTGTCCTCACTGCTATCTCTGCAGCGCTGCTTAACTTAGTTCTTTTTTTTTTATGGCTGCTTGGGAAAGCCTTAAGCCCCCCGTCTTTCTCGGCTGTCAGCCAAGTCTGCTGGGGCCAGCATCTTATCTTCCGACTGAGCTAGCTAAAATGTTGACTTAACCCGTTCTCTGCTCTTTTTTTCTTCTCCCCCCTCTCAACCTCTCGTACCCTGTAAAGGAAACTTCCACTCCCCACTCGCACACCTTTGACCCTCCCCAAAATGCTTTGTGATGCTTGTAACAGCGTTAGCCACAAACAATGCTTATCTGCCTTCCCCGGAGACTCCCTGATGGGAGGGGGCCATTGGGTTGTGACAGGCCAGTTCATGCTGTTAACTAAAGAGGATGAGGAGAGGATAGTGATGGAGGTGCAGAAGCAAACTTGGCGTGCCCTCAGGGCTCTGGGGGAGGACATGAGACGGTGGGATAAGAAACCCACTGTCCTGTTGGTGGAAAGGCTATTTGCCCTCTCGGCCAGGCAGGATGAACAAGCCACCAGCATCCACGAAACCTGGGCCCACATGGCGGGCGATCAGCAGCCACCCCTGCCCAGGCCCGTGGCGGCAGCCACCCCTTCCATCCCTCCGGTGGAAGATTATCGCCAGCCCCATGATCAACTCCTGCAGACTGGGGACCCCAGTTAGGGCTCTGGCTAGGGCAGCCCCATTGTCAGCCAGGGGTCCTGCTGGCAGTAGTGGGGTAAGGTAACCTGGGACTCTAACCGACACCCCAAAATTGCCATTGTACTCACTGAGTGGCCCTGTATGGCCCTACTAGACACTGGGGTGGGTACCAATGTATTAAACTTCACCCCTGTTGAGGACAACCCAGGGCTTCCCACCCATGTCTCGGCCTTCAATTCTGGGCCGCAACAGTGACAGACCTGCAACCAGGTCCCAGTGACCATTGTAGGGACGGTTTTGCATGCCTCATTTACTATTGACCCTTCATCCATGAAGAGGGTGACCTTGGGAATGCCCTGGATGCTGGAGCAGGGGCTATGGTTTAATCCTTATGACCAAGGGGGCACACTATGGCAGGAGCAGTGCATGCCTCTGCCCCAGGACGAGGGGGGGAGGTTTGCCACCGCCCCAATGACAGCGCTTACCGTAGAGGAGGAAGCATATTGGAGGCAGACAGTGCTGGGGTGTGGCAAATGTATCCATCTGACTGTGGTAGGCATAAGACAGTGCTGGTTGAGGTGGTAGGGTCCCCCGTTCCCCCACAACGCCAGTATCCTTACTCCAAAGCCACGGAGGAGGGCATAGCCAGGGTGATTGC